TTATTATAAATTATGAATTACTTGAATCTTATAGCTTTCATTATTGTGTAAGTGCTATTGTTATTAAACTATGTGTCTTGCATGTTTTCTCGGCCTCACGAGCATTCGCTCACCCCGTTAGATTTGTTTTCCTTAACAGGAGCGGATATGGGAGGAATTATGGAGAAGTTTACTTGGTGGCTCATTTGATTAGAATTTTGAATTTATTTGTTTAGACAACTTTTAGAAGTTGCATATTTTGGAAAAAGTAATTGTAAGTTTGAAATTGTGATGTAAGATTGAATATTTACGTATGTAAATAACTTCGTACTTTTATTCCGATTTTCATTGTTACTATTAGACTTTAAGTTTGAATTGGAATTGTCTCGAGTCCTGGCGAAAGCTAGATAGGCGTCCCGCGGATACCCTTGGGTTCGCCCTTGAGAGAAGTGGGGGCGTCACAAATAGACTCTTTCTTACTCTATGGTATTTCAAAGATCAAAAAATAGAATTCAAGTAAACTCGCCCTAAGTGCAAACTTAGCAAACAAAGTAATATCATACAATTTTCTTCCCCTTTTGACATCAACAAAAATAAAGTATGTAAGAATGAAGAGAAATTGATCATGAAGAAAGAATTACAAGTAACTTCTTCTAAGATTAAGCATATTGTATATTCTAGTGCCATAACAAAAAGATTTCTCATCAAATAAAGCTTTGAACTCCCCCTTATAATTAAGCCAATATCAAAATTATTTCTCATCAAATATATATCCCTTAAAATATACATGTAGGTCAAGTAAGTATAAAGGCATAAATCAAGTTTATAATTTTCTTCCCTTCAAAGACATTTATTGAAGTAGATATGAGGGAATTCATGCTCATTCTTTCTATAGTTTTTCCTTTTTTGTGATATGTATGAATAAATACCAAGGAGTTCATAAAAGTTGATAGGTATTGAATCTGTACAATAATAAATACCTACTCAGATAAAATATAAATTTTATATATAGCAGTGAGCAGAGTCGAATCTACAGGGATTAGGAAAAATTTGTTTCTTCTAGAGCCCAGAATAAGGGGGATTTTTATAAAAATGGGAATAATTAAACAACTCAAATAAATAAATTAATAAATTAATAAAATACTAAATGACAACTTATTAAAATTGAATCAAGAATAAATAATCTCTAACCAAGAAACAATTTTGGAAATGATTCACTCAATTGATCATTGATGCAAAAATAATTTCCCTTATTCACTGATAAGTTATAACTACCAAACAAGCGATGACAATTAACTTCTCTTTACTGTATTGGTGATTAAGATATGACTGTTAATCATTGCCCTAATCAAGATATAACCCTAGATACGACCTTAGAGTTCAATTTTTCAATTGCCTTAGAAATTAGAGAAGCTCTATTCTAACCAAATAACAAACTACGAGAATTATTTTAAATTATCCGATGTGTCTCCTTGACACAAATCCAATTATACCAGTAACACTATTTTGAAGCAATTAAATAATTACGGATTTAACTACTCTAATTGGTTCTAGGTTATTAGATTAATTTAAATATCGGGCCCTGGATATTCAAATAATATAATAACCATAAGAAATTAAATCAGGGAACATACAAATACCAGTAAATAAAAGAAGTAAATATAATCAATTCGATCTCATAATTTTAGTTGAACCAAATCCTCCGTTGTTTCTTGACTAGAATGAAGAGCTTAGTGGATCTCTATTGGAGAAATTCCACGCAAAATAGTAGAAGTCATTGCCAAAACCATTCTCCGATTATTAGATGAAGTCAAGAGGAAAAGGGAAAGGACAATGTCGTTCCTCTTCCTTGCGAAAAAGAAAAAGATAACTACTATGATGTTTCTTTTCATTTTGTTTCCTATCCCTTGTGAGAAAGAAAAGATAGACGACAACCTTTCTTTCTTTTTTTGTTTCCTACTCCTACTAAACTACTCTTCAAAAACAAGGTTCCAAATCTACTAAGTCAACAACTCTTATCCGAAAAAAGAGAAGTCCTAATAGATAGATAGACTAATATCCTAGCAAAAGTAGGAGACTATCCATTCGATGAATAATCTGATTTGCACAATTTCAATTCAAGATTCGAGATCACATGCAAAATCCCTAGCTTTCCGAACATGCAGGATAATACTTTGATGCGGCCACGCTAAACAATATAAAAGTCCAGTGAAAAATCATGTCTTTAATTCCTTTCCGCTCCGAGTTCCTACAATCAACACCAACTACCAAATATGAGTAAATCTATTACCTTTTTCGCATTCAAATTCGGTAAAATGAAATAGAGTACCTCATTACCGCATTCGAATACCAAATTAGTTTATAAAATTATATAATATATAGATAAATACTATTTAGTATTAGTATATACTACTAATATATTATTATATTATATAGGTAAATGCTATTAATAATAGTTAGTACATGGTATTATCATGTACTTATAATAATAATAATATATAATAATGTACAATATATTTTAGTATTTGTTAATTGTTATATGACTATAATAATACAAATATATAGTAATACATAACAATATAACATAACTATAATACTTATTATTTTATACATGAGTAACATGCTTAGAATTAGATAATAATTAATACATATATGTATAATACTAAATATTAAACAATAAACATAATTAGTAATTAGAATTTAGATATTGGTAATTTGATACATTATTAATGTTTGAATTATTGAATATTTGAATACGTAACCTATAATTTGCAAGTATTAGTATGGTCTAAATTTACATTACATATTTAATATAAAAATTCATATTCTCTATTCACTAATCTTAAGCCTTTAAATATAGACAAGACAATTAAGCAGTGTAAGTGAATGCATATAACATCAATGTATTAGTGTATTGACTTTCACAATAACATATGTAAATAAATAAGTTTTATTTTGATTTGAAATAAATTATAAGTTTGTAACTAATATAACTCATTACTAATCATTGTAATTTGTAAGTTTGTAACTAATATTACTTATTATTAATCATTGCAAATTATAAATTCATAAATTATCACTAATCATTGTACAATCTAAGATTTATTCTAGTTAAATTAATCACCTTTTATATGTTCCTTAAATCATAAACTAAGGATTCTAGGTATAAGTGATCAAATAAATGCCAATTAAACCACAAAATGATTAGAACATAAGTAATGTGTTAAATTATGAATAAATTTGAGGATCAAATCAGTAATAATTTTTAAATCATTGAGGAGCATAATGAATGTATTATAATTTAGGAGCCCCAATTTGTAAATTAAAAATTACACAATCACTTCCTTCAGGACCATAACAGGATTGTCTCATCAGTTTTTTTTTGTTTAATAAATGAATTCGGTTAGACCGAATTCGTTACCATTTTCGAATTCGAAATCGGTTGCGAAATAAATTCGGTTATAGCCAATTCGAAATTGAAAACAGTTTAGATTTCTATAAATCAAATAATCGAATTCACCAAATTATCGAATTTGTACCGTTTGCTCACCCCTAGAAGCCATGACAGAGCTAATTGTGATGTATTTCTCTCTCTATCAATATTACCAATTGTCTAGTGTCTTGCGTTGAATATAGGCATACGCCCCTTCCACCATTGGAAATGGTTTCAATCCTAGTGCATCACTGTGAATTTTATCCAATCGGTCATCTAACCCATTGAGAAAGATGTACACCTTTTCTTCCTATATGATAGAGTTACACCTATTAATATCGGCAGCACACTCTATTTGGTTTGACTAATGAAAATCAATCTCTCTCCACAAGCCTTACGGGTCATTATAATTCTTCTCAATTAGCCCTCCAACTTGTCTCATCCTGGTAACTTTCCTCTGCAAATCATACAATTGAGATGTATTAGCCCCATTGAAATAAGTTGTTGTACTCCTCCAACTTGTCCCATCCAGATAACTTTTCTTTGCAGATTATACCCCATTGAAGTAAGTTGTAGCAATTGCATTCCATAACGTTTTTGCCTTAGGAAAACGAATGAAATTTTTGATCAAGAATGGATCCATGTTGCTTATCAACCATCCATTCATGATTCGAGTTTTTAGTTCTCTACCATCAATTTATAGGATCTATCGGTGAAGGTTGTGAAAGATCACTATTAATATATCCTAATTTGTCCTTGCTCGAGATACACATCTCGACAACTTGGAACTACAAGGCACAGTTGATGCCATCTAATTTGATGTCAATATTTGACTTCTATGAATCATTGCTTGGTATATTCTCCTTGCTCCAAACTAAGATTTCTACAGTCATGACCCGAACCCAAGAATTGGCCAAATAACTTTTGAACTAAAATCTTAGGTTTAAAATGGTTAACGTAAGTTATTCAATAGCCAATGGGTCCAAGCTTATAAACCATTTCTTTTCCTTTCACAATGTGGGACTACCTGTCATAATCCATATTGTCCACTTGGTCATGTTCAGACTTTAGAAGTGACTCTCATACATGGCATGCAATTTCTTGCAGACTCTGAGGTGACCCTCGTACATGGCACACAATTCCTTGGGCTTCCTTGTGTAGTTAAAACCATAACACATTGACTCAAACTCATTCTACGTAGAGACCATGCAAGATTTGCTATGATACCAACTATCATGACGTGGACCCAAGGGCCGGCTCAAATAACTTTTGAACTGAAATTACGGATTCAAAATGATTAATCGAAATTATTCAATAGCCCATGTTCCAAACTTATAAACCATTCATTTTCCTTTCACACGTTTGACGTGGGACTATTATTATTATTTTTTTTTAAACATGAATGCATGAATTAGAAATTTAATATAGGAAATAATTCAAAATAACAATAACTATGGTTAGGCTCTGATACCAGAACCAATGAAAATCCCTATTTCTTTTTTTTTTTGCCAAACTGTTTATTTCATTACTAAACTGGCAGAATACAAAGAGTTACCGCTGCCCTCAGTTCCAAGAAACAGCAAGAGGGCTATACCCTCCCACCTTGAGTACGAACAACTGGGACTCCCCTACTATCCAAAAGTAAAATAGCCCTAACCTCCCTCGGGAGGTGCTGGAGTGACGTGCTGAAAAAATCATCCTGGGAATCCGTCGTTGCTAATTTATCCGCCGCGGAGTTCGCCTCTCTGAATATGTGTTTTGCTGTAGCATTGAAGCTTTTTAGCAGACCCCGAATCCGGCGTAATGAGTTACATAACGGCCATTTCGCCAAAGTCCCCGAGTCTAGCAACTGGACCAATCCCGCCGAATCCACCTCCACCAATAATCTTTGAGCCCGACCTCTATCACAGAAGAGCAAACCGTGTAACAATGCCAAACTCTCAGCAGTCAGCACATCAACATCTCCGAACTCTTTGTAGAACGCAAAGATCAATTTACCCTCATGGTCCCGTAGGAAGCCACCCCCTGATACCTTCCCTCTCGTCACGCTGGCATCTGTATTCAACTTGACCGCTCCCTTCGGTGACGGCAACCACGACCTCACCACGCGTCTCATTACCCTCTGTCTCCAAGTAGCCAATATCGCCCATGGATCATCCGAGTCACCCTTGAAATGCTTTAGGGAAAAGGCTTTCGCCCTCCCTAACTCCTCAACTAGGCTCCCCACTGCCCATATTATCCCTTGCGGATCCATCCGAGTCCCCTCAAAACGTGCCTTATTTCATGCCTGCCAGATGCCCCACACAATTAAACATGGAGTAACTGTCCGAATATGATTAGCCGAGACAGATGACATAGAAGCAAACCAAGATAAGCACTCCGCCGAGATCGACTGCGATCCAGGGTGAAGTAGACCAAACCTTTGTTGAAAGAAACTCCAAACCTGTTCCGCCACTGGACCACCTAGAAATAGATGGTTCAAGGATTCCTCCTGCAACGAGCAATAGCTACACCGAGACGCCATCATGATGCCTCGTTTTTGCAGATTCACCTCCACTGGGATCAAATTGCGCAGCACTTTCCAAACTAGGAAGGAGATTTTGAGCGGGAGGATTTTATTCCAGATGAACCCATCAACAAGGGAGAGGTTTCGTCTACACCGCAAGGCCTCCCACCCATCCTTCACTGAAAAAAGACCCGTTGGAGACCCCAACCACACCATCTCATCTTCCTGATCTGGGTACAAGGTAATCCCCTGGACCTGTCGAACCAACCCCAATGGAAGCCACACCTGCAGCAACCCGGTGTTCCATTCCCCCTCTTCAAAAAACTCAGCCACAAGTATGTGTAGCGGATCAATCCTACCTAACACCTCAGCCAAGGGCACCTCCAGCAGCCACCTATCATACCAAAAGTCGACAAACCCTTTACCCAAGCACCACCGAATCCTTGACTCCATAAAGTCCCGGACTCGCTCCAGCCGACGCCAAATCCCCATGGGCCTACTCACTTGCATCTTGCCCAAATGGCCGCTCCTAACGTACTTCACATGCATGAACTCCGCCCAACGAGACCTATCCAGGCGTAACTGCCACCATAGCTTGCAGGCAAAGGCCGCGCTCATGTCCCCAAATGACCGCACCCCCAAACCCCCCTCTGATGTTGGGAAACAAATCCTGTCCTAGGATGTCCAATGAATGCCTTTCGCACCATCCACTTTATCCCACAAAAAGGCATTGCATATTCTCCCCAGCCTCTGGAGGACCGCTTTCGGCGGTTGAAGGACTTGCAGCAAGTACATTTGAATGGAGGAGAGCACATGCCAAAGGTGGACCAACTTACCCCCTGTCGAGAGCAGCCGGGAGCTCCAATGCGACAACCGACTTTGTATCTTTGCCATAATGGGATCAAAGAGCGTGCTCGCTACCCTGCCCCTAGATATTGGAGCTCCCAAATATGTGAATGGAAGCGTTTGCTGCTGAAACCGTAGCTTCTCTCGGACCAGCGCTACGCAATTCTCCGGCGCTCTGTTTGAGAGAATAAATGAGATCTTACCCCCATTTATTCACTGCCTAGAATAAGCCTGGTAGCAAGCAAAAAAGGCCACCAGTGAGTCCAGGCAATCCTTAGAACAACGAGCAAAGACTAATATGTCATCAGCAAACGCAAGGTATGGGACCCAAGAGCCAGCAGAGACATAAGACCGCCCCTCCTTTTGATCGAAGAGGTGCAGCAGCCCTCTTCCCAAGAACTCCGATGCCAATAAAAACAGCGTTGGAGACAGAGGATCCCCTTGCCGGACTCCCCGACTCGCCCTGAAGCACTCTCCTGGCGACCCGTTGATTAAGACAAAAAATTAATTGTTGGAAACGGTTCTGAACAGTAAGTCAACTGTCCGCTCTTGAAATCCAAACTGGCGAAACATAAAGATGAGGAAGTTCCACTCCACCTTGTCGTATGCCTTTTCCATGTCAAGTTTCAACATCATATTAGGGTGACGTAGCTTCCTATCCAGATCGAGAGCCAACTCTTGCACCAACAAAATATTTTCTGTAATACCCCGTCCTGGGACGAACCCTGTCTGCCATGGAGAGATCAGCATGGGAAGCATAGCCCTCAGGCGATTTGCCAAGACTTTAGAAATTACCTTCGAAGTCACGTTGCAGAGGCTAATCGGCCGAAAGTCTTTCCATTGAGCTGCCCCTTGCACCTTTGGGATCAGGACTATGTTTGCGCTCGAAAATCCCCGCGGCTGCTGGACCCCCTGAAAGAACTCCTGCACCGCACCCACCAAATCTACACCTATAATCTGCTAGCACGACTGGTAAAAACCTGCCCCAAAGCCGTCAGAGCCAGGAGCGCTCTCAGGAGACAAGGAAAAAACCACTTCTTTGACCTCTTCCAAAGTAGAGAGACGCTGTAACGCATCATTATCCTCTTGCCTCACCTGTGGGAGCTGGAAATCCAACACCGGGGTTAACCTGTCCTGGCGCTCGGACGTAAACAACTTTTGAAAAAACTGAGCGGCCGAATGCTTGATGGCAACCTCATCCTCCAGCCAACCACCCATCTCGTCCTTTACCCGGCCTATGAAGTTCGCATTTCTCCGTTGTTTGACCATGGAGTGGAAAAAATTGGTGTTGGCATCACCCTCCTGAATCCATCTGATCGATGAGTTTTGCCTCCAGAACTCGCACTCCACTGCCAGCGCCCTGGCATAGGCTGCCCGCGCCTCCCCTAGATTCCCTTTCGCGGCCTCATCCCGCCTCATGTCAAACTCCTCCTCTCTCTTACGAAGCAGCTCCTCTGCGTCCTTGACACCCTGGAAAATATCAACGAAGGTTTGTCTACTCCATTGCTGTAGTGCCATTTTGCTATTAACCAACTTTCGATGAAATCCCACCATACCACCAGCATTGACCGGTCGATTTCATGCCTGTTGAATCACCTCCAGAAATCCTGGATGTCTCTTCAAAACATTCAGATATCGAAAAGACGAAGGTCTGCGCTCCGAATCTCCGCTTCTGATTAGAAGAGGAGCATGGTCAGATCGACCATGTACTAAGTGTGAGACAGTCGTTGTAACAAATAAATCCGACCAACCTGCATTTGTTAATACTCTGTCCAATCGGTGCCAAAGGACTCCATTCGTCCAAGTGAATGGCGACCCTACAAAGCTCACCTCTGCAAGTCTGCAATTAAACAACGCTTCATTAAACTCTTCCATGTTACGGGGGTTTGGTAGGGCCCCACCCCGATCGCTCCTGGGCATTAGAGATGAAGTTGAAATCGCCCCTATCATCCATCTCCCCTCATTACAATTACCAACGGACTCCATCACCTGCCATAATGCCCGTCTACCTACCCGGTGCACTTGGCATAAATTGCCGAAAAAAGAAGAGTATAACCCCCCAATCCTGTCTTGATGTTAACCAATTGGTCCCCTATTTCCTGAACCTGAGCCACCATGTCATCCTTCCACAAGACCCACATTTTACCCTCCAATACCGAGCACGTCTTTGGGAAATGTGGCTTACGGCAAATTACAGGCAATTGAACCGCATCAGTCATAGGCTCAATCAATACTAGCAACTTAACAAGATTATCAACACATAATTTATGTAGGTACCTCCGAGAATCCTTACGGGATACACCCCATATATTGCATACCAGCAAATTAAGACAACTGATCATTAGAAAGGATAGAAGACTTAGCTTGAGAGAGGAACAATTGCAACTTCTTGTTGTAGTTAATGGGCCGCCCCATCTTCTTGGTTAAATTGTTCAGTAGCGCAGCATCTCGAGCATCGATCATAGCCCCCCGGGGCACATGCACATCTAGTAAATTGGACCCTTTCACTTTGTGATCTAGAATCTCCTGAAACCGCTGCAGGTCAAGCACCGAGCAGCCCCCTTGACCCTGCTTTCCGACAGATTGGGCTCACCGCAGAGGCCGAGCTTGCGGGGGGAGCAAAGGAGACGTCCCAACAGAGAGACTCCTTCCCTTCGGAGTACGAGGAGACTTCAGTTCGAGCCCCTCTTCCTTATCTCCTAAGGCCGCAAAAGGGTTGGCTGGAGCTACTTCGTCCTCTTGTGCAGAAGACTTCTCGTCAGAGCCATTCAGTTCGATACCCTCTTCCATACCTCCTAAGGCCTCAAATGAGTTGGCCAGCGCCACGTCGTCCTCATGTGCAACAGGTATATCCTCAACGTAATCTGCTGAGTTGCCTACTGTAGGTGCATCTTTTATGGGCAGCACCACCTCCAAACGTGCCAACCTCGTATGACAACTCCCAGATGGCTGCGCGAGAGCCTCCCAAGCCTGCTCCTCCCACTGCCCACCACTACCTAACGGTGAGACAGCGGCGCATTGTCCAGGACTCTCGTGCTGCCCAGGTTTCTCCAAGAGTAGAGCACGCTGCTCGAAAGGAGCAGCAGGAGAAGGTCCCTGCCCCTGTTGCGCTTTCGGTAAAAAAACTTGACTGGGGACCCCAGGTTTCACTCTTGCTGGCTTGCGTTCAGGGTGAAGCCGAAAACACTCCTGCTCCCCATGGCCGATCCTCTCGCAATGCCCACAGAAAGATGGCCAGCCCTCAAACTCCACCTTCTGCCACTGCCCATACTCTTCATCCCCTAACCAAAGCCTCGGCAGCGGCGGCTTGGCTACATCCACCTCAATTAGGAGCCTGGCCACAGAAGGTCTTTTGATGCTCAACGTCGCCGCGTCCACTTGCTGAGGCCTGCCAATCAGCGAGCCTATCTTCAGCAACAGTTTTCTTGTCGAAAAATGGTAGAGGAAGCCCCGGCAGATTCACCCATATAGGGACGATGGCGCATTCCGGCCCTGCCTTAAAATCTATTGTCCACTTCGAGATTTGCATGGGAGAACCCTGAATAAACCGAGTGCGCCGCACAAACAACCTCGTGTAATCCTCCTCCACTTCTGGCTGAAGCAGCACGTGCTTGGAATCAAGCAACCCCACCGAGCACGATCCCTTCAACCCCAACGTCACAAAGAAACGGCGGATGACCTCCATTGACGGCAGCTTGAGGGCAAACCTGGCCACCAATGCATTCTTGTATGGTTTCGCTAGCCTCAACAGCTCAGAGGACTAGCGCTGGTTCCCCTCTATGAGAACCCAAAGCCCCAATATCTACTCCCGCAGCGAGGTCCCTTCCCGCTACTATGTCTGCAAAGGATTTGGAGGGGTGGGGAAGATCGCCCTGGGTAGGATTTGGCGGCCATGCAGCCGC